TGAAACTGGATGAAATTGTTAATATTATATGACATTTTGATTGTGAATATGTTTCTGACTAAAAATATCTAAATTCCTAAATCATTAAGACACAGTACGATAATTTTGATACCTTACAAATTAATTTCAGAAAATATACCTAGTGAGTAGTAAAAATACACTAATGATCTTCAACATTCATTGTAAAAGTCTACTCCACAAACTTTTATGTATTTTTTAGGACTTATGTGATGGACCAACTGTTGTGCAGATAAATAGCACAACAATGCTTAGTAGTGAGGTGAAAGGAAACTGATGTACAATTTTCAGATTAATGACAAAGCTCCAAGGGGTGTAGTTCTCCAATTCATACTGTTTTCTACTGTGATTTTGCTTCTGCCACTTAAACAATTATAATTCCAAGCTCAGAATTAAGACTCTGGTTTAATAAAATGAAATTAAAAAGAATCAATGAAATTATGGGAGCCCTTGAAACAGCTATTTTTTTGGTGTCAGGATGACTTCTGGGATTTAAGTTCGGTTTAATTGGTTTAAGTTAATTATTTAATATGACTAACCCAAAACTGAGAGAAGTGGATATTAATCTTTTAGGTCCTTCATTTCACAGGTTCAGTGCCCACACAGCTTCCACTGTGTCACCCTTGATTTCTTACGCTAGTTTCAGAAACAAGAGTCCTTTGCCAGAGGACCTGAAAAACTGTGCAGACCTCTAGAATACAAAGAGACAAGATGTAGCTGAAAGGATCTACAATCCTAAAGCACAACAAACTTTATTGTTACTATTTTTTGTATTTTGTCACTTCTACCGCACAGCTTGCTTCTACATCAATTAATCATCTGCCTAATTTACTTCCTGCAAAATCATTTGTGTGCATCAGTACAAGGCTGGATCATACCAGTTTGTTGCATAAATGTAAGCGCCTGTGGATGTCCTGAAGGGTAAAGCCATGATGAAAGAACTTCAAAGATCGATGAGCATGAGTTTCCCTGTGTTTTAGGGATTATAGAGTAATCAACAGCAGTGTCAGTAATGGCTGAGGGGACCAAGTGTGCTGGTTGCATGTAATAAATGGATGTTGATGAGAGAATTTGATTAGACTTGAAGCCTGGCATGCTAATTTGCAAACCGAACAGTGTGGTGCCACAGTTTGCATAAAAATAAACACGTTTCACCTTTCTGTCAGCTTCTGTGCTGCCTGCAACTTTTCCTTTAAGGAAGGTCAGAGCTAGCATCATTCCCACATGACGTGATTTCAGTGTAAAAGTGAAAAAGGCTAATTGAGCTAAACGCAGAGTTCAACCCGCTCCAGGGCCTCATGAGGACCCTTTTTTTCTGGGCCACATCTCTGAGGTCTCCAGGAAAAGAAAGAAACTTCACGCTCTCATTTTCAATGCACTTACACAATAATAACTCGGATGTCCGGACTGAAGGTGAGAAATGAGATCAAGCAGTGTTAGCTTGTTTCTACTGACTCACATAATTATCTTAGTTCCCTGAATGTCAGGTTCACAAGAAACATTATGGTGGTAAATAAAACACAATTGATTAAGCTGATTATCCCATTTATTTTTCCTTTGATGCTCAATTAGAGGTCCCTAGTGTGAAATTAAAGCATCTTTTATAATTTCTCATGATGGGAAAAGTGAACAGCAAAAGCAAACAAAAGCTAATCCCTCTCACTAGAAGCTGCACAACACAATTAAACATTCTGTCCCTGATGTGTGCTGTCAAAAAACAGCCGACCACTTTGACTCATGTTGAGGTGATGGAGTTGGTTAGATGGCAGGGGAGAACAAGCAGAGTCTACTTCAGTATACACAACTCATTCAAAAACACATCATACATTTCATCCTTCTTCGGCCAGTTACTGTGCAAAAATATCAAGTGTTTTGTTTGTGAAGAAATTGAGTTCAAGCTGCTGTCACGTTGTTTTTAGCATACCATGTTGTGCGTATTTTAAAAAATGGTTTTACACAGATCTAAACTTGATAAAATGAAGAGGATTTTGTAGAACATTAACTTCTGTCATGTATCCTGTTACAGTGCCTGCAAATTGGGGTCAGTGGTAAGGAATTGAATATTCTGTGGGTCATTACTGGATACGTTGCTTTTAATAAAGTTAATGTGTTAACTTAAGTTTGGAAGCAGACCTCTAACCACACCTCTGATTTTCTGGACAGCCTATTTTAATTCTGCTCACCCATTCATCTCAGTCTGTTAGGTTTTGTCAACCCTACCCTCTACCTCTTTCATTTCATCCCTCTTCATTCACAACCATGTTTTGCTTCTTTTTGCTGGAGTTTTTGTCCAGGGGGTGCCAGGAGGGCTCGGGAAAAATAAGAGAAACCGTTTCCCGAAGACCAAACCCAGAAGCAGAGTCTTCATCTCTCAAGATCTCCATCATTCTGCCCAGATGACCAAATCATTCAAATCATTCATCCCTTTCATCCCCTTCATCCCATCATCCCTTCAACTCTTCATGCCTTCATCTCTCATCCCTTCATCCCTTCATGCCTCACTTCCCTTCTTCCCTTGATCAATAAATCTTTAAATTTGTGTCTTTGTGGCATGGTCCTTGCTAGTGAACTGTAATATAAATACAGTGCCCATAAAAATTCATTCTCTAGAATGTTTTATGCTTTTTTGCATTTACAAATCAATCACAATCAACAAAATTCTGTTTTTTTCACTAAAAAACTTCACAGAAACTCTTCAAAGTCAAATTGTAAACAGAGTTCTACAAAAAAAAAAAATAGAATTGGACACAAAAATTTTACATAAAATAAGTAATAGCAAAATGTTCAGTCACTTTAAAGAAATTGAGCTAATTCAACAGAGGTCCAGCCAGTTGGTGCTGGCAGCCTCAAAATGAGTGGAATGAAGATCACCTAAGTATAGTATGTGTCTAAAGTGATGATAGTGTAAAGACAGCGATGGCTGGGAGGTCAGTTTGCTGGCTAATCAGTATTCCTGACCACCAATACAACATGAGGACAAAATAACACTCCAAGCAAATCAGAGAAAAGGTTGCTGAAAAGTATAAGTCAAAGCTTTATGGGAGAGGTGCAATGAGAAAACAACTGTTGAAGAAACCTCGTGGGAAGACTTGACTAGAGTTTGCCAAAAGGGAAAGTGGAAGACTTCATATTTATTCTATCCATTTCACGCACCAAAAATGATGCATTTAAGTTTTTACAAAATTTGCTAAAACTTCATGTCATTCTCATGATTCCAATATGAATTATGAAATATAAATCTTGATTTGCTGAATGTATTGATGCCCGTCAAGAACTGAGTAATTTCTCCAGTTACACAGAAAACTATTTGTTTAAAAGGATTTTCATGGAAAGCTCATTGAAAAAACGCCCACCTTTATCTCCACTTCTTTTCCACTTTTCTTCTTAACAAAAAAGAAGAGGGCAAGCAGATAAAGATCTGAAACTTTCAGAGTCACCTCTTTTTAATCACACACACTCACTTGTTATACTTGAGAAACTTGCCTTGCTTTTTCTGTCATTTCCTAGAAATATGCAGGTGTTGATGGCCTTTATGTGCCGTCATCTCTGATTCAGCAGCACTGAAATCCCTTTAGAAAATGAGCATCAAACACGACTGCAGCAGTGATACAGTCACACATCAAAAGCAGAGAGCCACTTGTTGTTTAAAGCACTGAATATGCATTAATCATAATGTCACTTCAGCACTCAAACAAATGGTCTGAAGTCATGTCTTGTCTTTATTCATGTAAATATTGACTTTTAAGACAACCCTAACCTCATAAAAGGGTTTTGTTTTAACTAAATATTCAAGGCTATACTAAAACAGAATAAGACTGATAAGTTGCAAATACACAACTCAGAAAACTATAAAACAGCCCTTTCACAAACTCTAACATTTTTTATCTTACACAGTAACGCTGGTCCAAAACAGAACTTGAAAAGTAACAAAAAGGCCTGGTCTAGTAGTTTGTCTAGTTTAAGCAGCACATAATTTTTGCAATCAACAGACAATATCAACTATGACAATGACATTATGTTGCAAAATATATGTTTCTGTTCTCATTTTCCATGGATGTGTACAATTTCATTGAAGACATTTTACTTCATATTCATGAAAGATAAGTTTGATTTTGTTTTTATTTGAAGGGTCTCGCAGATTTTGTAGGCTTAGACACATTTTTACCCAAAAGGCTCTTTGAATTGTTAAGGTTGCCGACTCCCAGACTTTGTTTTCTGAAAAATGTACTATTTGGGACAACTTTTATTTGCATGGTCTGCAATAGAAAAAAAGCCTAATTAAGTTCAAGAATACACACGGCCTTTTTAGTTATAGTCTCTATACTGTAGCATTTAATTTTAATGTAGACATTTATAAACTTTCATTTTAACATGACAGCAAAACATTTTTATAGATATATGAGCAATAATCTGATTAACTGGTCCGCCTGGTGTATCCCCAAGCTGTGGTTCTGTGGTTGCACACTGAAAACACTCATCCTGTATCCTGGCTTAGTGGAGATCCAAAAATCTCCACTAAACCAACTATTGACTTTGCTCAAGACCAGATTATCTTGATTTTAAATCCAACGCAATGCAAGCATAAAGCTGCAAAATATAAGCGCTTGTACATAGATGGATGTTTTTTCCTTGTGCGTGTTACGCTCCCAGTTGGCGTGTAGTGCTGTCTGATTAATCCTTTAAATTTTCTACGCAGTGCACGCACAACATGCGGTCATGATGATGGCATGTCCTCACAGGTAATTCTCTGACGAAAGCAGCTTCTGCAGCCCGTCTGTCCTGAGAGGCGTCAGAGCACAAAAACGCCGCCACATCCGTCATGAACCAGCCTCTAAAGAGGATGATGCCTTCTTTCATGGGTTTACAACAAACAGTGACAGACATGAACGGACAAACGTCATTTCACCTGATCACTCCCTCCTCCCTTAAAGCCAAAAAAGCTGAGGTGAATGGAGAAGGAGCAAACGTTGGTCCCCACTGACCTGGATCGTGCAGGTGTACTCCGAGTCGTCCAGCAGCCTCACCGTGCAGTTGCATTCCCTGTCCAGACTCCTGACGCTGCTGCTCATCAGTCGGCTCAGCATCTTCTCGATCGTCTGCAAACGGGACCAGAGAGAAGCGCGCGCAGCACATAGATACGGGTCGGCTTTTCTGCCAGGTTAACGGCGTCCCTGCTCCCTGCTCCAACACCTGGTCGGTGGCGGCGATTGGTGCATCGTTTGATCATCAGCGTGTGAGTGACTCTTATCAGCAGCGCCGTGTCTTTCACTCGGACAGGACTGGAGGATACCGCATCTGCTGCCCGTAATGATGATGATGATGATGATGGTCTGGTTGGCCCGTCAGCCCCTCACCACACCTGCCCAAGCCCTTGCCATGCCGCTCGCAGTGCTGCTGGTTGAGGAGTCTGCCAGCCAGTTGAGCTTTTGGCTGAGATGCTGCCTTCGCAGACATAACGACAGGAGGCGAAATTCCGATAGGCTGCTGTACGTCGTGACGGCAGCCACATGGTCGAGCATAATAACACAGCAGGGGGCCCCGCTAAGCAAGTCAAACTTACAGTCTGAGTGCATTTTTCATCAACTGAAATACCAAAAAAAAAAAAAAAAAAAAACACAAGTTTATCACCTCTTTTGTCATTTATATGTTTGATTTTTTTTATTTTCATTTTATTTCGGCTTTTCAGTTTTAGAAACAGGAATTGCAGTGGCTCTGAAAACCTTCACGTGTTTCTTTTAAAACGTTCATTCCTGTGATTTGATAAGTAATACCAACACTTCACAAACTAATTTCACTGGTGATTATGATTTTCCTAATCTTTGGCTTAAAATCAGTTTTTGAGTTTATAGATTAAACATTTTACAGAGCACAGTCTTTTAATGGGAATATGCAGATTTTCAGTTTCATGAGCAATGTCTCCCCCTAGTGATAATTTGGGATTGACAGAGACCAATGAACGTGTGCAAAATCCTCTGCTTACATCAGAAATGTGAACTTTGTAAAACAATTGAACTAAGACGGGAGTGCCCAAAGTCCGCACTTTGGGCACTCCTAGGTACTCCTGGCACTACCGGGTACTCCAGGAGTACCCAGTAGGTGCATCGTTTAAACTCATGCATGTCCTGCATGTTTTTGTTCTCTCCCTGGTGGCAGTAACAACCTTTTCAGCATGTCGATGTTCTAATGTCCTTCTAATGAAACATCATTTGATACAGGTGCGTTAAACCAGGGCGAGAACTAAAACCTGCAGGATGCCGGCCCTCGAGGACCGACTTTGGGCACCACTGAACCAAGACTGTGCTATACTACACTAAAACAGTTGCATGCTTTTAAAATGCTGTCAACCCAATGCCGTAAACAACACAATGTAAATGATTCTAAACTTTTGGGGTAGTACATCCAATTGAAAATGCACATAGCATGAAGTTTCTGTACAGTACAATTATGCATAAATTAGCGTTACAGACATTTTCCAATCATCTTCAGGTTTATCAGAAGTGAAAAATAAAAATGAACTCATCTGCCGTGACATTGTATCGCAATGCCGTGACCCGGATTCGAACCGGGGTTGCTGCGGCCACAACGCAGAGTACTAACCACTATACGATCACGGCGAGCTACGATGAGTTGCCGGGAGTTGGAGCTGCAACTTTCAAAGTGTTTCCCGCACAACTTTTATTTTTTTTTTAAGTGATTTTATGTTAAAACTTAAGTGATTTAATTAATTACTCTTTCATTATTAAGTGGAAAACATACGGATTGCCTCTGTATTACTGCTGTTAGTGTGAATAATTAATTGTAAAGATATAACTTTGTTCATTGCACAATACTGCCATCTGGTGGTTGATGCGACGAGGTGCTGCCGAGTTTTTTTCCTCTTCTATTTCTGATCTCTGCCGATTGGTTGAACTTGGATACGTAACCGGCTGTTTCCTGTTTTGTAACTCAACCAACGTGCAAATTACAAAAGAGAAAATTGGTCTTTATACAACGCTGCAAAAAACCGGTGTGTGTACATATCCTGGTAGGAGTAAGGTAGGCAAAGCTATTTGTTAGATGTACATTAATCTTCTATCTTTGTATAACATATTTATATGCATAGACTGACGTGGCTCGGTTGTGTTTTTGTAATAGTTCAATTCGGTTTACTATGTAACGTCAATTCACAACAAATGTCTCGAGCCAAAAAATAATTTCAGTTCACTCAACGGTATTGAATATAATAATCATAATCAAAAATGAGATTCATTATTTAGTGCATTTAGTGAAATAATCATTTGTAGAATTAAATGCAACTTGTGCTCATTTCACGGTTTGTCGCTGCAGGATCGTTGTTGCAGAAGAAGTTTCAACAGTGCAGAGTTTATGCTTTTGTTGGTTTTTACATGGGACATTTCCATCTCTCAAGTTTTAAAAGGATTTCTTCCGTGTCTGCATTCACAGATCACCAGGAAATGGCTCACGTGTGTGTGCACTGGTTCCGTAAGGGACTCCGGTTACATGACAACCCAGCACTGATGGCTGCACTGAAAGACTGCAAAGAGCTTTACCCTGTGTTCATCCTGGACCCTCACCTTCACCACACCCAGGTTGGCATCAACCGCCAGAGGTTCCTCATTGGGGCACTCAAAGACCTGGACTGCAGCCTGAGGAAACTCAACTCCAGGTAAAAACATGGACACCACTTTCAAAGAAACATTTCTGATTGACATTTTCAGCTGTTCTTTTATAACGACTATACCGTGTTGTGATCTGGTCAGGCTGTTTGTCCTGAGGGGGAAACCAGAAGATGTGTTCCCAAAATTGTTCAAGTTGTGGAACGTAACAAAGCTCACTTATGAGTATGACACAGAGCCGTACAGTTTACGTCGTGATGAGAAAGTGGCCAGTCTGGCAAGAGAACATGGAGTCGATGTCATCTACAAAATCTCCCACACGCTTTACAATATAGAAAGGTAAATGTCAATTTGAGTAGGTCCAGATAGATTTTACCTGGTTATTCTGTATTATTTTGTATTATTTTTGGATTGCTCTTCCTTTGAAGAATAATTGAAGAAAATAATGGAAAACCTCCTCTAACTTACAAACGTTTGCAAGCAATAGTGCAAAATCTTGGTCCACCCAAGAAACCAATCCCTGCGCCAACTTTGGAAAACATGAGAGGTATGTCACAAACAGAACCACAGTTTGGAATACTTTGCTTTTACAAGGGAATATGTTTTGGGTGTTAAAGTGTGTCCTCTTTTCATTGTTTATTTGCTGAAGATGTTAAGACTCCTCGCTCAGAGAAGTGTGAGGACAAATACAGGATTCCGACTTTAGAGGAGCTTCAACTGAACTCACAGTTTCTGGGAGAGGAGCTGTTTCCTGGAGGAGAACAAGAAGCTCTGAGAAGACTTGATGAACACATGAAAAGAACGGTACAGACCTTTTACTCACCTAGCACTACCTGCAAGACTTTGGGTTAATTTTGCAAACTAAAGCTAATTCATTTTTAGGGAAAAAGATGGAGAAGTTCACCATCTTTGCCCATAGTGTAGTGAGTCAAATCAAGTGATCCTCTTTTAATACATCAGGAATGTTTGCAAAGTAAATCTGAAAAATTTCCTATTGCCAATGCTTTTCAGAACAGCCTTTCACTGAAATGACAATTGTGGTTGTAATGTGACTCAATGCGAAAAAGGAGCGGGAATATGTGTCTGTAAATTTGAATCTGCTTAATTTAGGGATGGGTTTGTAGCTTTGAGAAGCCACAGACCTCACCAAACTCCCTGAGTCCCAGCACCACAGTCCTGAGTCCATACATCACCTTTGGGTGCCTTTCAGCAAGAACGTTCTGGTGGAGGCTCACTGAGGTGTATCAGGGGGTGAGTGTCACATTGTACTTCTGATAAAATAAAAGCAGTGGTGTGCAAACAATTAATTCTTTAACCTAATTTGTATGTAGAAAAAGCATTCGGCTCCTCCAGTGTCCCTTCATGGTCAGTTGCTTTGGAGAGAGTTTTTCTACACCTGCAGTGTGGGAATCCCTAATTTCAACAAAATGAAACAGAACCCAGTGTGCACACAGGTGGATTGGGACACAAACCAGAAAAATCTAGCTGCATGGAGAGAGGTACTGTGGTTTGAAAAGTGTTCATATTCTAATTAGAGATCATTTCCAGGTCTTTTCTCATTAATTTTATGTCATGATGTTGTGTTTCTCTGAAGGCTAAGACTGGTTTCCCCTTCATCGATGCAATCATGACTCAGCTGAGGCAGGAGGGCTGGATCCACCACCTGGCCCGACATGCTGTCGCTTGTTTTCTCACTAGAGGAGACCTGTGGATCAGCTGGGAAGAAGGACAGAAGGTGTGTTAATTTGTTTTTATGTACAAACCCAATCCTGGCCTATGGGTAATAAGCATCTTGTAATCTGTAAAATTAAAGCTTTGCACAATGTTACTTCTTTGCAGCAGAAGTGTTTGTTGTAACACAGTTGTGACTGAAATAGCTTGTTGTCCTTCCTAAGGTCTTTGAGGATCTCTTACTGGATGGTGACTGGGCTCTTAATGCAGGAAACTGGCAGTGGCTGTCAGCAAGTGCTTTCTTCCACCAGTTTTTCAGGGTTTACTCCCCGATTGCATTCGGTAAAAAGACAGACAAAAACGGAGACTATATTAAGTAAGATCATTTTCCCATTAAACTCAAATAAATTGTGTAATTTTATTGCACTGAAACAACATTGAATTTAATATGTATGCAGAAAGTACCTTCCTCATCTGAAGAAGTTCCCACCACAGTACATCTATGAGCCTTGGAAGGCTCCCCTTAGTGTCCAGCAAGCTGCAGGATGCATTGTGGGCAAAGACTACCCACGTCCAATAGTACAGCACGAACAGATCAGCAAGAAAAACATTCAGAGAATGAAGGAGGCTTATGCTAAGAGGTCCTCAGACAACAATGAGTCACCTAGCAAAAAGCAAGGTATTACAGAAATATATATTTATACATATACCTCCTCCACCTTAACTCACAGTTGCAGTAAACCCATCTTTCTGACAATTTTCTTTTTGTTTTTATCATAGGTGTGAAGCGAAAGACTCCATTTGTCACTGACCTGCTGCAGAAGAAAATCAGGAAAAATTAATGGGACACAATGAATCTTCATCATAAGTTACTGAACATATTAAGGATTTGGGGACCTGTATAAAAAATCTTCTTTCTGTCCTTTTATTTTATATATTTATATATATATATATATATATATATATATATATATATATATAATATATATATATATATATATATATAAACGTTTAAAAGGTAGGTACTGGGTGAGAAAAGTTACATTTAAGTTAAGCTGATAAGCAGTTGATGAATTGAAGAATCCGACCAAAGACATCTTGCTCCTAAAAAATGTTATCTTTTCCTCAAATTAATATTTAGAATAAGATTACTGGGTAACATATTATTAACCCTAAAAGTATTTCTATTGTTTCTTGCTTGTAGCTACAGTAAGTGCCTTGTATTTTATATATTGCTGCAAACCTATTTCTGTCTAAATAAAGACAATGCAAAATATAATTGGTGCTAATTATCTTTTGTCTAAGATTCTAGCATTTGTTGTTCCGATATTCATTTTATGTGCTCATACATGGTGAGGGTTTCTTGCTTTTCCCACTAGAGGTCACTCTAGATCTGCATGCAGACAAGTAGGCTTCGGCTCACAAGAATACAAATGATAAACTCTTTATGAAAAAAGTTTTGAAGAAAATTCAAAGCCGGTGGATAAGCTCAATATAATCTCTAGTACTCAAGTGTACTTACTTTGCACCTGCTTCTTTATTTATCCAGTTCAGCAGCTCTCACATTCAATATAATTGCAAATATGCACTACATTCACAATTATTAAAGGTCTTATAAGTTATGGAATTATTCATGTTTACAGTTTTTGGTTTTGATTGATACAGGGCAGTGTGAGATGAGCAGGACTACATAAAAGCAGTGTGTGTGTGTGTGCGTGTGTGTGTGTGTGTGCGTTTCACAGCTGTTCATGGTGGTCAAGTCTTCTCATGTTTCTCCTTCCTTGGAGATGACACTGGTGAGAATATCAAGAGGATGATGTCACAGCAGCAGCAGCCATACAAAGCTGTGCTCAGTTTCCACAGAGATCAGTTAAACATCAAAACAGTCTTCTGGTCAACAGTGGATCCTCATAGGAGTTAATATTTTTTTGTATTCAGCCATTTTTTAGAAAAAAAATAATTTGTGCAATGAGTGAAAACAGAATATCTTTACAATTCTTTAGATAAATTTGATCATTTTCTAATCAGCTCAAATAGTTTCATAAATCTGTGAATAACAACCCTGCTGTTTCTTCCTCTTTCTCATTACTGTGCTGGCGTGGTCCTGTTCCTGTGCATCCCTGTCATCACTTCACCACTCAAACCATCTTGGAACCATGAGATCCCACCTGAATTAGAACAGCTTGTCCCCACTCAACTGGGGATCATGTAGCTTTAATTGTAGAAATTTATCTCTATATTTCCAGCAAGACCAGATATCAAAGAACTGATTTGGTCTCATGACACTGCCTGTTGAGGAGTGAGACGATTCAGTAAAGTATGGACCTTTTAAAGCTGAGACCAGAGGTTTACAAACATGATGAAGACAAACTTTTATGTCTTACTTTCTGATTTTAAATCAAGTAAAAACTTGTTCTTGTTTTAGGCCATTTAGAACTGCCAAAATTATTTAGATTTTTTTTCTAAATCCCAGAATGGTCAAGATCAGTTTTACTCAATTTACTTCAAAGTCAGACATTTTATGCGATTCTATGAGATTTGGTGAAATTACCTTTAAATTATATTTATTATAAATTGGTTGAAATGTGTTGGATATCTTTCTTTGAAATTCTCATTCTTCCGGATAGAATAATGTAACTAAGTCAGATCGTAGGTTATTTCTTTACACACACTTCAGATCCGCCTTGTATGAGACAGATATCAGGGAATTGTGATGTCCATGAGCCTCATAGCTCATGTCTGAACTTGTTTCACTGCGGATAATAACACTCATCCGTTTTGCTCAGCATCTTCACAAGATATTTTGCTTTTATTCTGGGGTTGAGACGCACATTTTTCTGGTACACAGAGCCTGTCTCCTGTATAAAGAGCATAATGACTGGACATGCCTATGTTCAGTCATTATGCTAGTTTTATTAATTCAATCTTCAACTGCAGTTTTAGTAGTTTGCAATAATTATAAACATATTCTACTCTTCCTACAGTTAAGGACAAGTATGTTTTTTTATGCAAGGATAAGGTTGATTTTTCTAAACTTGAATGTCATAGTGAAAAGATAAAAACTTTCTTTTTTAGTTGCACTAATGATAGGAGACACATCGGACAAGAGGTCTGGAAGTTGTGGCGTCACAACGAAGGGTCACCTTTCATGTCATATGAAAAATAAAATGTCAGTGAAAATGGAGATCTACATTTGGTCAGTCTGCTTCCAGTCTGCTTCATGCATTTTAGTCAGTCCTCGTCTCCACCAGGCCATCCTACACTCTGAACCGGTCCCTGTCCATTATCACTCAGGTTCTAATGACTGATTCCAACCATTTATATTTCCCCCTCAGGACCTGCGTTCTATTTCTAATAGTGGACTATTATGTTTGCAAGAGACAGATAATGGCATTGAGTCAGAGGTAGTCACTCAGAAATCATTCTTCTTAGATGTTCTGGACAAAAATATTTTGGGAAGTGTTTTATTTATAGCAAAAGATGAAGCAATAGACATGCAGGGCTGAAAACCTCCACTTGCAGGGATTTTTGGTGATTTCATGTTTGCACATTGATTATTTACTTGGATCAGGATTTGTTCGCCAGAGATCACTTCAGTAATAAATCAATTTTCTAGACTTCAAAAATGCTTTATTATTGTGTTTGTTTTAAATTTGTTTGTTTTATTTTTATTTCTTTGTATGTATCAGAACAAAATAAGAATATTTAGCAACCTAAGAAGTTCCCCTTCTGCTATATTTTATAAATATGTCTAATTTTAATAAAATGTGTTAATTCAGTTGATATTTAATACAGCTGATGACAAATATATTGTTAAATACAGTGATGTGCTTTTTTTAAATTCAGCATATTATGAAAAGTTTGCTCTTTGTATTATGGTGTTAGAGAAAACGTAAGTTTTAATGACAATGGCTGCTCATCAATTAATCATTTGTAGATCAATAAGATCAATCATGCATCCACAGGTCACAAAAAGTCCATCACTGAAAAGCCCCCCAGTTTGGATGCCTGTCCATCTCAAATGCACAAGCATCTGAGGCAACTGTTGTCTCCAACCTCTTGCACAGAATGAGGCTCTGCATCTTCTGCATGTCTATCATCATAGGCGTGTGTCCTGCATTGCATAACAGAGTCCATTTTTAAATATCAGTTGCTTTATCCTTCTAAACAGTTGAAGTTACAATATGTAGATGCCACATCCAAAAAAGGGGTTTCCTTCATTTGTAAGTTAAAATCCTTCATTTTAGTTAATTTTGCTCATCATGTTAAGTCTGAATATCATCCCCCTGGAAAGAAAGGTGGAAAATTTCGGAGTTACAAAAGCAGCTGAAGGGTCAATGGAGCAAATCAATTTAAATAGATGAAAGGACGGCAAATACGTATGTGTAACCTGATGAGTGGAATCGGACAGACATCTTTAAACTTGATAGGCAGAGCTCAGAAAGGCGTAAGTCATGGGAGAACCGGTGCCAGTCGGTCAGTAGCTGATGTTGTTGTGGAGTTTGTTTACAGAGTAAGACAGACATAATATAATATAGTATAATATAATATATTTTTTGTGTTTTGTTATAAGATAGTACACAGATCCACAAAACTCACCTAACACTCGTCAGTGATATCTATCTATCTATCTATACATATACATGTATAGAGGTATATATATATATCTATATATATATAGCCTATATATTTATATAATGTAGTGTGCGTGTGTGCTTGGTTGCAAAAAGATAAGAGCGCTTAGCTTTTCTGGCGGTGGCATCTGTCTATATAAGGCTGTTCTATTCCTGCTGCTTTTCCTCTGGGAGCCCAGTGCAATTGTCAACCACTGGACAATGCAAGCTACAAAACATGGTAGGCTCTCTCTATTCTGTTCTAGTTTTGAAAGAGGTGAACTTGGAAAGATCACTTAAACTGTAGAATCTCTGACTTCGATTTGACATGGGTCAAGTTTTCATTTTAAGTGAAAAGCTCCAGTGATTGTTATCTTTAGAAAGTATTAGCGCATAAGGACTAATCACACATCTCCCCTTTTCTCTTAGTAAGTCATTAACTACCATCAGAACTAAGAAAAAAAACTTTTCATGCATTTTCAATCCTTTCTCTTTTTTTACGTAATGAAAAATTGGGGCGTTAAAACATTTGGTATATAACATACATCATGTTTGTAGAAGACCTGATTCTTTTTATTTTGCATTTTCAGTACAAGACTTGCTGTTTAATTGATGTCATATAGCATTTTTTGTTGACTAAGGTTCGACTAAGTGTGTTCTGCACTTGTGCCTATTTGCAGGCCGACTATAAATAGTCCAGAAGGCTACGCATGCTCGCGTTTGATTGGAAATCGCAGTGCCTTAAGTCAGTGTGGTGGAGCATCTGTCATAGGAGGGAATGACACTCAGAATGGTGAGTTACAAATTAATATATAACTATAAAGTCCTCAGTGACAATAGCAAAAGGAGCAGAGACAATATGTATGTTTTACTCCACAGAGCATCTTATAAGAATGATCAGTTTTTTAGTCGCAGACAATGCAAAAATCTGATGTTTTAATGTTGTTTCATGTTACATCTTGGACCAATCTATTTTTTGGGGTGAGTAGGAGAGTATATTCAATGTTTTTTTATGTCTTTTCTTTTCTCTCTCAAAAGGTTGAGTTGACGTCTTTTGGAAGCTGCAAGGTGAAGAAATAAACTCCAAAATCTATTCTGAAGGACATTTTCTTTCTGAACAGTATTTTCTTAAATATAAGTAATGGGTTCACGGAGGACAGCAGCACTTTCCGCTTTTGGGAATGGACGGTCCAGCAATGGGAATAATGTCAGTGGGAGAAGCCGGCCCAGTGGCTGTAGCTACCTCTCCAACCTGAGGCCAGAAAACAGGTACAGATTCTTGACAAGCTCTCAACGATGCATCGCTGGTGAACTATTTCTGGTCGGATGAGCTAATGCATCCATAATTAAGGATTTTGCTAAGATGAAATCAGCACTTTTTATCTCACAGTTTGGTGCCACGGTACCCAACCGTTTAAATAAGCTGCAAATTGAGATTGGGATCTCAGTTATGTACCATGGGCCCAATTTCAAGCATTCGCAGTGGCGTAAGCATTGACAGATTTGCTGGAAGCCCCAGTGGAGTTGGACTTTATTTTTGTCAATAGATGAATAGTGTGTTTAAAAAAAAGCCTTCTCTTTGGATAACACAAAAACATTTTAATAACCATTAGGAGCATTATGTTTGCTGTGCTTAAAGACTCAGATAAATCTTTATCTCTTTCCCTTCATTGACAGCTGTTAACATGTTATTTTTAGCTTTTTCTAGTCATTTTTTTAATGTTAAATATATGCAAACTATCACCAAGAAGCATACCTCAATTTCGATATTGTCTATATCTTCCATATATCCGCATAGCAATAGTGGCCAATATAGAGAACTTATATTTTATTTTCAGTAGTTTATATCTAATGAACTGATAAATTATTTCACTGAAAACACAGCTGCATACTCACAATTGCAATATTAAGGTTTGATATGACATGTAGCCGTTTGTATTGGTAATAATTATTTTCTGTAAGGATTTCAGGGAGGAGGAAATAAATAAGAAAATAGTTTTTTGTATTTTTCCCCATGATAAATTTGCCTGTTGTGCCTATTAGCTAAGATTGTCCATTTGCACTGGTGCATAAATTACTCCACCAGTGCATGGAAGAGTTCAGACCGCTTATCTGCGTTTTCAGTCTGGTGTGTTATCTTCCTCTTTAAAACTCTCCAAACATTTCTGCAGGGTTCAACTCAGATGGGTTTTCTCCTAAATGACTGATCTGACCTTGGACTTAATAAAACTCAGTGGGACAACTGTGCAAAAGAAACAACAAACAAACAACTCCCATTCCTTAAACTCTTTTGATTCAGGTTTGACATAGAGAACATAATAGCTGTTTGTTCTGTGGCTCTTACTGACTGCAGTTTTTCAGTCTCCTACAAATTTTTTTAATGTGCTTCTCTGAAAGAAGCAGTTGTTCCTGGTGTTTATGCACCTTTTGTAATTGTATTTCTGCTTCCTTAATTCCCAATTTCTGTTCTTAAATACATCACTTTGAGGACAGGCAGTTGCATTAAATTTTCTTTCTGTAGCTTCCCCTCTGAGTGGAGGGTCTTAGCGACAGACTGTTGGAAAACTATTAAGTCAGCTGTCTTATGTAAACTATACACATACTAAAAATCCTTCATTGGCTTTTTTGTAAGATTAAAATGCTTTGGGGTTTCCATTATCTGTAAGCCATGATAATTAAAAATCAACAAACACATACATTTGGAATATTAATCAGTGCATTGATGGTTCTTCTTTTTGTTAAGAATATTTTTCTTCCTTCATCTTTTTCTCCAATTACAGACATGTCACAACAAGGACATTTTCACTCCCCTTAGGGATGTTGCAAAAATGTTTTAATCAAATGTTGTCTCTGAGCTGAACTAGTTTTATTGATGAATTTGATGAAACAATATGAATTAATGAGGTCTTGAGATGACACACTTTGTGTTTTAATTTCAGGTTTGTATTCATCTCATTTGACGTTAGTGAGTTTGGACAGCTGTGATTTGGTCTAATTGTCTGGGCATTACTTTTAGTTCCTCTGCCTGAAAACAAACATAGAAACATAATTAGTGAGCAATTTCCCATTTCTTGCACAGGAGCACATTCTGCAGCGTAATGGCACAGTTAGCTGAAGAAATGCCGCCCTCCTTCGTGACTACTTTGAAATCAAGAGCTGTGTCTGAAAGCTGCAATGTAAAGTTCACCTGTGTGGTTGCAGGTATACATGACTTCACACAAAGATACAACATAGTAACAGCGCGTTTAAAGACACATCGAGCTTAAACTGACTGAAAAAGTAAATAAGTTTTTATTCAGAAATTATGAAATTTAATGTGTTTTTGTCTCTTTTCTTAGGACATCCTGTCCCTCAAATTACCTGGTATAAGGATGACAAGCAGATGGATAGATACTGTGGGCTGCCTAAATATGAAATATTCCACAATGGACAAAATCATTCCCTGCACATATACAAGTATTTATATCCAAAATTTAGGACTGTTAAATTTAGGACAACACTTATTTAATTAAGATATTATAAAGGTCAGAATTATATTAAGCTTTCACACAAAGAAATAATAACAACGAAGCCTCTACTATCCAGGTTAATAAGGACCACAGTATTCGTTTCATTTAACAAAAGATGCTGAAGCTAAAAAGGTGAAACTGAATGTCAAGAATAAGAGCTATATAAAAGTGATTTATTCAAGCTCTATGTAATTCCTTATTCAGCCTCTGAATAAGAAATTACATTCAGTTCATTCACATATTTTTATGTGAAACTCTGCATTATTATTGGTAATAATAGTAGAAGAAATAACACCATGAGTTAGTTTGAGATGAAAATACATGTTTTAGACATGTTGAAGCAAACTGTTAGCGCCCATCAATAATTTCACACCATTTGATGCATTCAGTGGTGTTTATTTTGAAGATAATTTATATATATCCTCAGCACTTCTCATTTTTCTAGTATATTGCAGTCCAAAGTTAATTCTGCCTCTGAAGTTATACTCCTTAAATACGACTGAAGTGTCTGCCTTGATGTTGATAATAATCTACTTGTTCATGTGATGTCAATAAATCCACAGTTGCACTATGGATGATGCAGCTATCTACCAGGCTTCTGCAATCAATAATAAAGGAATTGTTTCCTGCTCGGGGGTCCTCGAGGTTGGCGAAATGAACGAGTACAAGATCCACCAGCGGTACTTTGCCAAGCTCAAGCAAAAGGTTGAAAACAAATGCAGGGAAACACAGGGAAAAGAAAACCTGGAGCCACTGCGAACCATCAGCCCAGACCGAACCCAGAGGAAACGGCGCTCAACAATGGAGACTTTTGTCAGCACACCGAGCCCCATGGAGGATGAAGGTAGTGACGAGATCCATCAGGCAGAAGATCTGGAGACTGAATGTATGTTACAGAAGGGCACTGTTGAGGAAGTCTATAAAAATGTAAACGCTGACATAAAAGAAGCTGTTTGTGCTAAGACAACTGGACATACAAACAATGATCCCGGCAATAAGAGTAGAACATATATGTATGATCCTGATCACAAGATTTTTACCTCTCAACAACCAAAATCTCCTTTTGTCATGAAGAAGATTAAAATTTCCGACAGTGCAACACCTGTAAAACCAGAACATTTTGGTGAAAGGAAGCTGATGGAAGATAATACTTCTTCTGCAGCGCCAGTCTGCACAAACACTGTACAAACTGGTGGAAATTCAGAGGAAGTCATGGAAGTAGAAAGCATTGTCAGTTCATCTCTTACAAATACTAACTCAAAAAACATAAAAGGGGAACATGGACTTTCAGCAAAAGAGGAAGGATTGTTCATTAAGAACCCGTCAAAAGATGAAAACATGTTTAATAAAAGGAAAATGCCTTCACAACGAGAAATTGTCCCTACATCAGAGTTCTCTATTCCTGCATCTCCAAGCCCTGCGGTGTCAGAAAAAGAAGGCAAGGAAATGGACAAGCAAACAAATGAAGAAAGTTACAAAGAAACTGAAAAATGTTTGGAGAAACAGAAACAGGATCCTCACCTTGTGCCTGCACAAAACAAGTCAAGCAATAAATCAAGATTTCTAAGCATTACAAAGGAGGACACTGATAAAACCGGACATGTTGGAACATTGGATACCAACGGAAAGTCAAACACATCACTGGATGGCTCTGGTTTTAGAGAGCTGGTGGACACACCATGTGACACAGGGGCTGTTTCACTTCAATTCCCATGTGAACAGGCTGAGAGTCTGCTGCCTGAGAAAGAGACAAGCCCCTGCCAAAAAAAGGAGTCTGTGTCTCAACCAGCAGTGCCAAGTGAGGTGAGTTAACATTTTTCACATGAGATCATAGCGGCTTTATGTCGGCAGCACAGGCCCCATCAGCAACACAAGCATCCTGGTGATATTAATAGCTTTTACAAGCATGCCCTGTTCTGGGCAACGAGATTTGAATGACGCACATGTTGACAACTGGAGCAGTTGAGCTGATGCAGGACATGGTCTGATGGTTGGCTTTGTGCTTTTATTCTGATAGAAATTTTAGGTTTTGTGACCCGTAAAGGGACCGCAGATGCAAATTAGCTTATGCTATAATCTGGTAGAGTTCATGAAATGGTGACATTTATGTTTGAGTTGAACATTGTTCCTTTCTAAATAAAATATATTATTATTATTATTATTATTATTATTATTATTATTATTATTATTATTGAGATGGTGGTAAAAATAGCATAATCCCAACATTCATACTGAAGGACCAGTGAAAAACACCCAAAATATTGTAAATATTAAATGTATAACATATACCTGGACTAAATTTGTCAAAAACATAATTAAAGTATAATTTTTTTGTTTTAATTATAATATTTTTAAGCTACAGACATGGGACATAACACAATAAGGCCCTGTACAAAAATTTGTTTTTATTGTCTTTAATAAGATTCAAGCTAGATGTTTTCCCTTAAATGTAGCCAAAGACGCATGTTTAGTTTTTCTTTTCCAAATGTAAATAATAAATGTAAACAAAATGAACATATACAAAGGTTATCATAAATTGAGAAGAACAAATTTCTACAGTACACTGCTTATGCACGCGCCTCAACCCCATCTGTGTAGTGTGAGCTGAGACAAAGCACCACATGCCAAGGAAGCTACTTTAAATAATTCACATTCCTTTGTGTCCACCTTACATTTAAAATAGCCACCTTCCTTTTCAATATGCTTCTAGATGTCAGTTTAGTTAGGAGTGGGAAGATAAAAGCAGAGGGTAAAAATCTAAATGTCAGTTCAGAGTTTGCATCTTGGACTTCACTGTTTAATTCATTCATGATACACTGAGACAAGGAGAAGTCTTTAAAAAAGGAAACCAAGTCTAAAACATTTGTTTTACAAACATATGTATCTTGACAGATCAGTATCCTAGGTTAATTTTTTAATAATCTTTATGTATAGTGGTGAACATCCTTGTACTAAAATGACATTGAAAAATACCAGATAAGAAATAAAATATGTTGTTACTTTTAAACAGTGAATTATTGCAATGCTCTCTTAATACTTACACTGGCTGAATCAGTATGTTAAAGGTAAATTTACCAACCTGAATTGGTTTGCAATTTAGACCAATTTAGCACATTGTACATCATGATGTTTTCCTTCAATTTTGTTTTTCTTCTACGTTGTAGATTGTTGTGTGGCTGTTTTTAAACTTGCAAGTGTTTATTTATGTCAAGCAAAGCCAGGGATAAAGGAATAAGTATTTACAGCTTGTATTATATCCCAAGGTTACAAAGGCCGACGCAGATATGAACTGGAATGATGCACCTGTCAGCCTTAAGCTACCACTCAACCAGCACAACATATACTCAGAGCTGCCACAAAAGACAGATGACATCCTGACCTCTCCTTTGTCCAGTAGTCCTCAAACAATCACTGATGAAATGCCACCGGATGATTCCAGGAAACCAAATGGAAACTGTTCACCCATTTTTACTCACTTACAGAAGTCTGCCCATGAAATCTCTAGTTCTAGTGAGAGCATCCCACAGTGTAATGTTGCTGTCACCCGGCAAAGCCAAGTGGATGCAGCTATAAAAACCTTTGACGGGACAGAAATACAAGAAGCGAAGTTAAAGGTTGGTGAAGTGGGTAAGTTCAAAGCTCAGACTGTCAGGGGGATTCGAACTGAGAAGATACTGGAAGTGGAGACGAGTAGTCCACATGAAAAAGCTAACTCACAAAAGACCAAAGATGTAGGGAGAAAAGACTCCGGAGAAAAATCGGTGCAATCTCGTATTGTTGATGCTAAAAAGACTCAATCCACACATTGTGAGGATTTGAAAGAAGGTAGACTTGAGACCCGAAAACAACTTCCTGAAAACACAAATTCATCTAAAGACACAATGACATTCACAAAAATACCCAAAACTGAATCCACAGTTATTTCTGTTGCTGAACTTTTAAGATCTCAAATAAAAGCTCTTGTGTTGACACAAGACAATCCAATCTCCAACATTCCTGCCCCCTCCAAGTTAACAAAAGATCCTTTGGTAAAGGATAAAGAAGCATGTCAGCAAGCAAGAAATGAATCCAAAATATGTAAACTAGAGGTGGAGACTATCAAGACTAAGAATGAAAGTGAGACAAGCTCTGACAGAGGACCTGGAACGAACCTAAAGGAAACCCTCATGAAGGTCTATCAGCAGCTCAATGAAAAGGAACAGAAACATGTTCTGACTTCAAATGAAACTTCAACAACTGTTCAAACTTTATACACTCCTGTTGGGGTCCCTTCTACCTTTTTCAAGGAAACTCACACAGCATCAGATATAAACATGATCCATGGAAGAGGGGGTAAAAGCAATGAAGATGTCATGGACACCAGTCAGGAAAATATGGTTCCTTTAAAAGATTATTCTATTATTGTACACAATAGTCCCCTTTCTTTACCTTCAGAGAATGGATTTATTAAGGAAATTGAGTCCATTTCAAATCCACCAGAAAATAGTCTTCAGAAATCTGGGTCTCTAATTACAGCAGCGCATATGGAGAATAACATTAAAAAAGAACAGGGTACAGTGGTGGAACACACTAGAGGAGGAACTGTTCAAGTTCCCAATATGGCAACACCAATTTCACAAAGACAGCTCAATGATAAGTTAGAAAGAGTTTCTGAGCAAAACAAAATGGAGAAACCTGTAGCTAATTCTTTTCAGACCTTGCAAGCATATCATCAATCTGAACATGAATTTAGTTTAACTAGGCAAGTAAAGGACATTCTTCCTACAGAGCAAGAGAGCTTAGTGGTTAAAGAAGGTATGAAACCTGACCCATTTAACATTTTAACTCCAGAGTTCACACCACTGTTAAAGAAGATTGATTTTATTTCACCAATTCCTTCTGCTACTCCACAAGAGCTAGCCTCTGGGGCACGTCGCAAAATCCCAACATCGAATGCAAAAACAGAGGAGGCTCAAGAGTCAACATCACCCACTAATAGCCAAACTCAGAAAAGAGAGATGCCTGGTCATAGCAGCAACCTCTCAGCAAGCTTTGTGTCTCCAAGCCTGTCACTACGGTCACCATTACTGCACCCTGCAGAAGAGCAAACAGCTGTGGAAGAAAGACAATCTCCACTTTTGACCAGAAAGAAGATGGCTTCTGAAACTCAAATACAAACCCAACTGTGTACAGAGAAGATCCTCACCAAGGGAAAACCCACAGAGAAGGACAAACATAACCCATTCAAAGGTAAAGTGGAAAATGAAATGTTCTAATCTCTTTAAAAGCTTCTATAATAGTAGTTGCTCTTACAGAAAAGGGGATGCCATCAAAGGTAGTTTTGTAATATAGATAGATCTGCTAGAGAAGTAAGCTCTCACACTTTTGCTGTTGGGAAAAATATTACACAGAGATAAAGTCGTACTCAGAGAATGCAGATAATGGTGCATGAAGAGAGTGCCACTTTTGATCCTAAGCTAGCAGCAGCATATTACATCTATCCCAGCAAACTGGCCAATAAGTGATTTAATCTCCCTCTGCACATCAGTTTGTTCAGTCAATAAACTGAAATGATTTTGCTGAATTGGTCCACACACAAAAAAATCCAGTAGTCCTTTGCTAGCAAAAAAGCAAAACTAAAAACAAATTTTAATCTATTGAAATCAGTGATTAACACTACCAGCCCTATACAACACACAAAACTGTCTCATAACAAATCATCTTTTTACTACTCAATGTTTGTGTATTTGAGTGAATGTTGTAATGTTTTGTTTTCTATTGACTTTTGCATGAAATCATTTGGGATCTAGAGTCATTGGATTCTATGCAGACAATAGACACTAAGGTGATGTTTGGAAATGTTTTTTATTAAGCATTTGGGTTTAGTTGCCATCTTAATCGGCACGTTTTACGTTATAAGAAACATTAATATCTCAGTGTATTTTTCTCTATCTAAATTAATTCTTATCTATTTTTTACAGATTACAGTTTTCACACATTTTGTCACGAGATTGTATTGCTATAGTCCAAAATGCTTTTTCACACATGGTTGGCAGAAAGTCTGTAAAACGGCTGTGGATCTTCTCTCTTTTTTTTTTTTAGCTCTTTTCCATTGTTTATATACAGATAAACAGTCCTGGGTTGTCATCATTAGGATATGTGTATGCCTAGAGTGTTTGAACATCTCACAGATGCTTGTTACATTAATCATACAAACATTAACTTTGAGCTGTACTTGCGAAACAGAAGTTGCAACACAGTGTGCATGGTAGTGCAGAGCTTAATAATCCATGAGCTCACTACTGTGAACTGCATAGAGTTTGTGTACTATTAACATGGATTTAGGCATTGTTTCAATGTGCTCAAGTTTCTTCACAGTTCAGAAAAAAAGATGAAATTGAAACTGGTAATTAGAAGATTTTGTGTGTTGGTTGAAAATTGATCTCCTCTCTCGCTTATAGACTTCTATGAGCAAAATCTACTATGAGTTCATCCTTGCAAAAACAAAGATTGCATATTCCAAACATGCCCAACTAAGGGGGGATTTTCACTGCATGCTCTGTGTTATGGTTCTCTCCAGCTCCTCAGGTTATCCGTAAGATCAGGGCTGAAGTTTTTGCAGATGGCTCAGGACACTTGAAATTGTGGTGCCAGTTCTTTAATGTTCTGAGTGACTCAAACATCAAGTGGTACAAAGATGAAGAGGTGATTGCACAGGTTAAAAAAAAGTAAGTTTATCACAATATGTTAAATAGAAGGTTTTTAATGATTATTTTCTTTCAAATAGTTTAGAAACTTCATAAAATGTTTGTCTGTTCTCCAGTGAAGGGGATGAGACCCAGGTCAATCTGGCCATTGTTCAGGCATCGTGTAAAGACTCTGGAGTTTACGGATGCTCAATAACCAATGAATATGGTTCTGATACCACAGACTTTCTACTTAGTGCTGATAGTATGTATACTATCAAAAGTAATATTTATATGATAGTTTTATTATTTGCCACATGTTTAATCAGTCTTCTCCATCTTGTTTTTCAGTTTTGGCTGGAATGTCTCTGCATGAGGACCTTGGTGGTAAGATCAGACTTAGGTAGATTGTTTAATTATTTATTTTTCTGTTTTTCTTTTTTTCAACAAACCTCTGTTTATTACTGTTTATACAGCTGGGGAGGAAATTGAAATGACCCCCCTAATATTCAACAAGGGACTGGCGGATTCAGGCATCTGGGGCAACAAATTCTTTGGACGTATAATAATGACGGAATCACAAATTGGAAATAGCTGTTCCAGTAAAATCTGGAGAGCTAAAGTCATTTACGGTCTTCAGCCTGTTTTTGAGTCTGGCAACACCTGCGTAATTAAAATACGCAGCCCTATCACCTATGCAGGCAAGGAGGAAAGCTCGCTCATAGAAAGGAACCAGCACATCATGAAACAGGTATCTGAAAAAGTGGAATTTTGTGTATTCTTCTTACCATCCTAGATTCAAAAATGTCACAGAATATACCAGGAGTTTTAACATTAAAGGAAGCCAGGTGTCATGTCTGCCACCCACACAGGATTAATGTGATACTAATCTACTTAATCTTAAATAAGAATTATACAGAAGCTTTTGCAAATCTTTTACTGGTTGTGATGCTATGTTTTCTATACAGGAGTGTAGAAATCAAAACTTGGCACGGGAATACTGCAAAATCTTCAGTGCGGAGGCGAGGGTCGTAGAAAACTTTGGACCCCCTCTGGAGTGAGCAACATCAATTTTTAGTCTTGATAATAAACCGTCAGATGCTCTAAAAACTTTCCTAAAAGTTATTCCCACTCTGATCTTATTTATCCTCACTTCCTATACAGGATCATTCCAGTGTACTTGATGTACAGACCAGCAAACCCAGTCCCTTATGCCACAGTGGAAACTGATCTGATTGGAGTCTATAAGAAATACTCTGTCCTGGATAATACAGGGAGAATAGACATCAAGACTGGTTCTGAAGTAGAGCAGAAGTGCTGTGCGTTGCAGCACTGGATTTTTCAGTGGACTGCTGGCAATTTGCTTCTCACTCGCCTGGAAGGTGAGTTGACACCCAACGTCAATGGTGCATTGTGGAGTTTTACATACACTCACTGGCCACTTTGTTAGGCATACCTTCCTGGTACTGGGTTTGCCCTCGTTTTGCCTTAATTATTTCTGCATATATTCAGCAATATTAAAAATGGATTCTAGATATTGTTGACATCATAGCATTATGCATTTACTGCAGATTTATTGACTGCACATCAATTGGATTGAGGTCTGATGACTATGTTGATAAAATAGCAGATCCATGTTTTTGTGTTATTCATGCTAAATTTTGACCCCACCATCTAAATTAATGTTTTCCCAATCTGGTATGATCCAATTTTGTGAATGTGGTCTTGGTTTTCTATTCATAGTAGATAATAAACGCGTGTGGTGTGCTCTACTGCTGCAGCAGTCCATCTGTCTCAGGGTTGTTGTGTGTGATTATGTTTTGCATCCCTTCGTTACAACATTTGTGATTTTTTTTTGCTATGTTTTCCTTTCTATGAACTTGAACCAGTCTATGCATTGATCTTTGACCTCTAACTCAAGTCATATTGATCCACACAGTTACTGCTCACTGGATATTTTTCTTCTTTTTCTGACCATTCTCAATAACATTTGTAATATGTTTGTGGGTGAAAATACCAGTAAATCATCAGTGTCTAAAGTTCTTACATCACATTTAAAGTCCCAATGATCAGCCGTTTCAAACAAAAGCCATGCATGCACAAATTCCTAGTTCTATTAAGCATCACAAACCATATCAAAATTCTTTCTAACATGTTTTTTATATACAAACAATTGTAAAGCAAAAACTTTAAGAGCAAATTTTCAAACTTGATTTTAGTTATGTTTTTATCCACTCACTGCAGAGAGACATGTGCCCAGTGTTCTATTTAATTGTATTATGTTTCACATTTTCCAGTATCATGTTGTGTAGCAATAATTTCCTGAGCATATCTGTCACATCTAAACATGTTAACCAAACAGCAGAAAAATCAAGCTTCTGTTTGGTTTCATTTTGCAGGTGTTGACACCAAGATCACCAATGTCGGTGTTTCAGTCAAATCAACAGGGTAAATATACCTGTGTAATGTTTTTGCAAATTATGCTCTGAGAACCTTGTTTTACAGGTAATTTACATTTGCAGGTAATTTCACTGCAGCTTTTCTGTGTTCTGTGTTATGCTGCAGGCACCAGGGTTTATGCATTGAAGGAAATCCCAAGGTTTTTGATCAGTTCGTCCTGCAGCACAAGTGCAACTACTTCTGCGGCTTGCTTGGGCTGAGATCTTTGAAGGTCATGGACATTTTAACCACTCCAACAAAGCCAAAAGGCTCCAAGAGCCCCTTACTGCAGCGCAAAAAGGCAATGCCCTCTTCCAGCCCCCAAACTGGCAGAAAAGCTGCTGTTAGCCCCAGGATGCCCAGGAAGGCTGAACTTGAAGGCAATAAGAGTTCTTTGAATCAAAACAATTCTGATGCTCCCAACGTAGTGAATGCAGTGCAGACCTGACAGAGCAGCATTTTCCCAGAGATCTTGTATTAAAACTAGTACCACTTCAGAAGTCCCCACGAGGAAGTTAGAATCGTTTAATAATTGTATGCAATAATATTTAATTTTATCATATACCATTCCTTGCCCTATGATACTTGCTGTGGAGAATATTTATTATGTGCTGCATTTTATATTTTTAATTCAGTTATTTATCAAGAAGTGTAGTCCTTTATGAATTTGTTGTTTTGATAGTTAAACACCAGATTGTAGAAGCCTAACTCAGGTCAGTATCTTTACTGCAAACATGTACAATTAATCAAACTGAAGCTGTGTTAAATGTTATACATTTATGACTGTTACTGACAGCTTAAGAAGTAAAAATATATATGTACAGCTTACAAAGTATTAGAAAGCATATAAACGGACCTGCAGTCAACCATTTTTTTTCTTATAAACATTTAAGCTTATTCAGCTTTAGATGGTACTGTTTTGATGTAATTATTGGGTTTCATTTTGCAACCTGAGCTGTTTTCTTGCTACTCTACTTTGCACTTTGTATTTTTAAGAACTGACTCTTGAATGTAAAACACAATGCAATAAACTATATGGTGAAATCCATTTGCTTAGAGATTGTTAAAAAATACACTACATATACATTTGATGACTTCTGTTATACTTTTATGGATTTCTTTATAAATTAGCAGTACTCAAAGTTAGTTGTTAAACTCAGTTCACTATCAGTTTATCATTAAGTTCAACAAGTTCATTTAGTGAATGCGCAGGTTGGATAGCAGCTGGGGAATAAATGTCACTACCCAGCTAAACTGGACTGCATTGTTTGCTAACTAGGATAAAATTGGAATATTGTGAGTGACTTTGAATCAGCCTCAATGATGCGATTGATTTGATTTTTCTTCAGAAGGCCTTGAAACAAAATTTATTTTGATTTGGTTCTGCATAAATAAGCTCAGTTTAATACATCTAAATTCATTTCTCATATTTTAGATAAGCAAATTTGTTCCTTATTTGTGCCGTAGTTCTTGGTGTGGAAGGACATCTACTAAAACAGGACCTGATTATCATCGGGAGGGTCACTAATAAGATAGTCACCACTCAAATGTATTTCATACAATCACCAAGTAAACCTGTTAGGTAAGGCTACATTAGGAAAAAAAAACAGAATATGTCAGTTTTCAAAATTGAAAAATAGTTTTATGCGAGATATTTTTTTATTTTTCAGATTTTAACAGGTAGGTTTAATTTGGAGAAGTCTGTCTCTCTTGCTAATTCTCATTAAAACTGTTGCTATAGCGTTTTGGCTTTGTGAGAAGTTATTTTGGAGAGGTGGCCAAGATTTTTTGTATTTCAAGAACCAAAAACTATCTCACACATACATAACTGACATGGGTTCTCACTCTTGATCAGAAATAGCCCAGCAGTAAAAACATGTCCAAATGTAACACCTCTTATCTGAGGAAAATCTTTTTTTGTCATATGGTAAACATGGTAATTTTATTCAGTTAGTACTTCCCCCAACTATTTAATCTAAGAGTTTCTAAAGTTTTAACTGGCATATAAAAGTAGAATAATTAGCTGGTTCACTACAACTATGGAATAATTTAATACTAATTTACCACAGTCATCTATGACATTTCTCTTCAAAACAGCTCACAAATAAAGAACAAATATGCAGATCTATTGCAACTAAACAATATAAGATAAAAATTAAAATGTATTAATTTCAGTGTGAAAACAACTTTTATTGTTGTGAAGTCCCTGTGATTTGAGCAAATAAAGCATTAGTAAAATAAAGCAGCTTTATACACAAATGGCCAAATCAAATTCCTTCACAAATGAATGAATTGTCTTGCATGTACAATGTATTTGCAGGGTGACATGAACTTTATCATGTTAATTATATGTGATTTTCAGTCATTAGTGAGTCATCGCTTATGTAAGTGGTGGCCACACACACAAACGCACGCGCGCACACACACACTGACACTGGTGCTGGGAAGTAAAATTTATGCAAAAATGGGCTTGTAGTGTCATGCCAGTGGATCGGTGGATTTCTACACATGAAGAAAATCACATTATTTAGGTGTGAAGCAATTGGTATCAGTGTTACACATAAGCTTTATCTTCAATGTTATAGCAACACCTCTTCTCATATTACCATGTTTTTGGTAATATGGAGAACATGCCAGTACAAAAATAGTGGTCAGCTTGTTTTATATTCAGCCTGGCAAGAAATTGAGAGAGCTTCAGAATATGCATTTCACCAAAGTGCGTAATGAAGCACCATGAAATCTTGCTACGCAGCTATAACTTGTTCGTATTAGTAAAATGCACAGAAGATTTACAAGGCCAACATTAAAACTAATAAAGCCTTATAAATAAGACAAAATGTCTAGTTTTTTTCCTGATATTTATTTATGTAAATCCCATAGAGACACGTTTTCGTTTTTAAGAGATTTACTCTACCTGTTTGAAGGTGAAGCTTTGTTCCTTTACTTCATTTTAATTAAAAACTGTTTATTACCATTCTTGTTTAGATTTCAGACCTACAACATTTTTACTAGCATGACCTGTATTTAATTTATTTAGTTACTTAAGTACTTAAGATTCTAACTTAAGTTTTGTTTGTTTACATGCTAAAGTTCAGGCTTTTATAAATAGAATTGAATAGACTAATCCTTCACCTACATTTGGTAAACTTAACCATATCAACAGGAAAGTGAAAACACAAAAATAAGCATTAATATTGAAATAAAATAAGAATTTTACAGTGAGGTCATAAATACAACTTAAGAAAAAATTGTGCAGAACTTTAATTGACTTTCACAGCATTTAGATTATTTTAATTGTTTATTAATGGTTGGTTTAACCAGCTGTTGAACTCTTCTTTATATAAACGATTTGTCATCACAAATGAGCTGATAGTAGATGACATAATGGGTGTTTTGATTGTAATTTCCAAAGAAACAATAGCACAGCAACTTCAGGGTAAGAAAAGAAGAAAAGGCGAAGCAAGCTTACTATGTTTTTGGAGATTTTTTATTTCAAAATGTTTTGAGGTGTGGCAACAGCACTATCATATCCTGATTGGAACCATCCTGACACAACAATCCTGCCACCTACTGTTAGGTCAATGACTCTGCTGTTGATGAGACAAGCGGACACTTAAAAGCAAAGTTCCACGAGATGTGATTCATTCCTCACGCCGAGGCTCAGAGTTCATCTTGGAAATAAACAGAGAAGTGCGCTTTAAAATTTTCATAGCATGAGGAGCAACATCACAAACGAAATACCTTATTCCAGATGTTTCTTTCAAGACATAAAAAATCAAGATTATGAGGAAAGCGGAGAAATTACTGGGAAAAGATGCACCGTCACAGCTCCTCATGAGTAACGACGACTAAATAGATTAAAGAGATCCAGCAGGGTGATCTCAGCATTAATACTCATGATAAGACGAAGAAAATGAAAGAATTGTTAGTCCTCAATGGCAGGAATCTGACAAGCACATCCAGGCCAAATGAATTCTTATTACATTCAACAAGACTAATAATAATGTTGAGTTTGCGGGATTATCTTGTACTCAGCATGCAAGTTATTATCACATTAAACACATTTTATTGGATTCCAACTCAGATTCCGTCCCATTGTGACACAGCATGTAGAACCATGCTCAGAAGATTTCTTGTCGACATTGCGATGGATAATAAAAGCAATTAAAGGAGAGGATGAGTGGTCTGTTTTAACAGTAAATTGTTATTTTTACCATCAAATCCATAATATCTACAAGATCCAAATATATCAAGTAGGAAAAGCATAAAAACAGAAACACGTGAAAGGCTCGTGGTGATTGTGACCTCTCGTTGTTGTGACTAAGTGACCTTAATTACAATCAGCAGGCCAGTGCGGTTGTGACCATTTAGAGAGATTATATAGAAAGGATTACGGGTTCCTAAATGCCACAGACTAGCTGGCATTTGAAAAAAAAATTATCTCCACTGTTCCAAAAGTCGCAAGCTGCCACTGGTCTCGGGTCATCACTATTTGACCGTCAGTGCCATATTAGTGTGCAGTATCATGGAAAGCTTTTGCTGACTAGGAAATAATGACTTTCTGATAAAGATCTTCATAATTTTTTCTGCCACAGCCGAATATAAAGACTCAATAGGAATACAATCTGTATGCTGTGTTTTCATGAGGAAAAAGGTGACAATGCCATGCTGACTCATCGGTGGTAAGCAATACACTGCAACAATCAAAAAAGCGAGTTGCTTGGTGTGACAGCGGACACACCATGGGGGGCATATCTTATTGTGAATGCATAGGATACAACAAGTATAACGTCACAACATTTTTAATAGGAGTTTTTTTACAACATTATCCTGAATAAGTAATAAAAGGCTTCTATTTGTTTATGTTTTGCTGTTTTACTTTTGAAATAGGTAGACATATTCAATAATCAGAATGTTATTAAAAGTCAATTTGTTTCACTAACTCAATTCACTAAGTGAAACACGTACAGAGACTATGTCAAGCTTTTATTTCTAAGATATTTTCCCCATACAACCAATAATAAAAGCACAACATTTAATTTCATACAAGATTGGAATATCACATCAGACTGAGTCCAAAAACATTTTGATCATAGAAATATAGGACATATTGAAATATGCTTAGTATCTGTGCTAAGTTTGTTTTTCAATGGGTATTTTTAGCCTGACAAACAAGCCCCTCAGAACACATTCTAATTTCTTCAATGTGTCTACATGATGCAAAACCTGATAAAAACACAGTCAATTTTACAATGCTTGAAAAATAAATATTTCAAATTAAATGAAATACTCCTCAACAGAACTCATCCTGCTGATTTCTTTAAGTGAGTTTGTGAAATAGTTCTGTATGTATCTCAAATAACGTTTGAAAGTTCTTCTTTGACAATTAGTCTTTAGATGGAGTAAGGCTCCATCTTGTTCTTATCACTGTCAAAATGATTGCACACCCAGGACCAATGATTGTGCTGCTGTGTTTTTTGTGTGTTTGGGATTGTTGTAATACAATAAAAGAAAGCTGTTACTGATCAAAGTCTGATTGGGCTTTTATATATTTGTCTTTCATTTAATTTTTCCAACATCCAGAATACAATCTTTACAGTTTTCAACAAAGAAAGAACCACTGTTATGCATTTTGACAGCTTTAGACACTTACTGTTTGAAGACATTGTGTGAACTAGCACTGTCTTACTTCCTACTGCTATATAATTTAATAAGTAAGCTATTCTCATATCTTTCATCATTAATTAAACAATTTAATCATTGCTTATATATGCATACATAACATATATATGCATACATAACAAGCCTCATACACACACACACACACACACACACACACACACACACACACACACACACACACACACACACACACACACACACACACACACACCCACACACACACACACACACACACGCATAAATTCTTGACTCTTTTTGACTACAATTGTCAAAAAGAGTCACTTTTTTCACTCCATATGACTTATTTTTAAAAAGACAATTAGATTTTAGAATTTCAGAATGTTTAACATTGTCATTTTTAAGACTTGATATTGAATCTGTTAAGAACACCTTACATAAAACAATCAGT